ATGAATTGGGGTTTAATCTTGAATTGTACTCCCTCGAGATTTGGTGCGGGGGCAAGGTGTGGAAAATCTGCCAGGGACGGCTGCGAATAATCGCTGAGCTTACGAGGTGGTTGAACCGTCATCTCTGATTCTAGTTCTAAAGAAACTTTTGTTTCACTAGAATCATATGGGGATTCCAAAGGTGTAATACCCTCGGAAGTAGCTCGTACCTGTCTAAAAAGATTCTTCTTCTTATGAAAAGAACGTTCGATTTCAGGATCGAATGGGATGTAACCTGATCTAGAACTTCTGGGCATAAACACAGAACTAAACAAACAAGTATGAGAAACTGTCCCAAAGAACTTGCGTTCTCTGAGACTAAAGAAAATAATCTAGACTACAAAAATAATCAGAAATAAAAATAAAACCGTTTCCCCGGCAACAACGCCAAATTTTGACAGGCTAAAGTCGTATCACCTAATTAAAAGTAATTCCTAAAACCACTAACTACTATAAATAGGGAAGTAGGGTCGAATCCACAGAGAAACTGGTCTTTCTATTCCTAATTAATTAATATAATCTAAATTATCAAGTAACCAAATTGTTTTTGTGAGAATTAAACTAATAACTAAACTAAAGCAAATTAAATAAGGGAGGAAAACAATAATAAAAGGCCTAGAGTATAGGTTCACCAATAAATAATATTCCAGGGTAAAACATAATAATTAATCATCAATGCATATATTAATCAGATCATAAAGGGCTTCCGCTACGTGTTACGATCACATAATTAATCTACCGGTATTAAATCGCATCTCTCGAATCTTGACTTAACCATTTATAAATTAACCTGCCTATTGAAACTAAGCCCAAACATCAATTCTCATCTCTCGAATCTCGAATCAATATTGCATAACTCATACAATTAAACTTGCGCAAATCTAATTGCATAGCATTAAATCAATCAATAGGAAATCAACCAAAACATCGACAATCAACAATAATAAATTACCCCGTCATATTAATTATGGATCCCCACAACCCTAGAAATAAAACTACTCGCACATATTTAAATCTAAACTAAGCAAGGCAATTAAAGAAAGCATAATTAAATCAAAGCAATTAAATTATTGAAAGTAAAGAGGGAAGAAATCGTTACCAAAGTAGACGGAAGTAAAGAATTGCATAAACTAAAAGTGTCGAGAGGGATCAAGAGTATTAACTAAAAGCTTAAAACTAAAAACTAAGAAATTAAACTAATGAGAAAAGTAGAGAGAGAGAGAGAGAGAAAAAGAAGGTCCCAAACTCTCTTAACAAAAGCGTATTTATATTAAACTAAGAAAACCTAAGCTAAAACGAAGATTAAAAGTGCTAAACAACACACGCCCGGTCGGGCGCCATCTCGCCCTGCCGAGCGCGCCTTCGGGCAAGGGCTTGCCCGACCGGGCGAGGGCTTGCCCGACCGGGCGAGCTTCTGGGCGAAATTGGACTTCTTCAATTGGGCCGTTTCTTAGCCCAATTCGCATTTCCTCTTTGGGTTCTGAATACATGGTCTATTGCCTCGGACTCTTCTTCTTCGCCGAGCCCTTAATCACCGATTTGATGACTCCAACCGATCTTGGGCTTCGGAATGTGGTCATATGAATGCGACCTTACTCCAATGCTCGTAGTGGCTCTAATAAATCTGGGAAAATGCTCCAAATCCGCAATTTCTTATAAAACAATACCAAATCTACGAAAACACTAGAAAACGCATATTAGTAATAAAAGTAGCTCCGTAGAGCTCAAATAAACATAATTATGACCATTGGGACGGGGAATAAATATATGTACAATAGACTTATCAAAGAGAGAGAATAAGAGGTGGTGGTGATGGTGGTGGTGGTGGTAGCTGCTGTGATAGTGTGATGGTGGTGGTGTGAGAAAGATAATGCCGCAATGGGCGAGGGTTGAGCATCGCTTTCTCTCTCCAAGCTTCCCACCACTCGGGCCTCGACCCTCCTCTCGTTCGTTTTGTTTACTGCTCCTTAACTTGGGTAAATCTGATCCCAGCACCGTGCTGGAGTAAGTAGTCCAGTACAAGCAGCAATTAAAAATAAAAATAAAATACCAGAATTCTTATCAGTAAAATAAGTTTTAAAACTGAAAATTATTATCATTCTGAAAGTTAAACTGTCATACCGCACCAAGTTATCGTTAGAATAAAAGATTTGAGATTTATCAAATAAACTAGTTTGGTGCCTTGTACGATTCGTGGGTTGTTTATTGAATTTTAAAATGAACTTTTTATTTATATTCCAAGTTTTAAAATATATCATTGTTAAAAAATTAGTTAGAAATTGATGTGATTTTGTGACGATTTAAATTATGTAGTAGGCATGTAATGACTAATAATAATATTAGTGAAAATGTTTGATTTAAAAAATTATATAAAAAAAATATAGCAAAGTAAGCGTGAAATATTAGAGTTTTTTTTTTTTAAAATTAGCCAAAAATAGAGTAAAAAAAAAATTGTTCTAAGCCCGTTGGGTTGATCCGAACCCGAAACTTTGGGCTAGCAGCCTAGCATTGAACATTTCTTAACCCGTGACATGGAGTGACTTGACCCGAAATGACCCATGACCCGACCCGATTAACAGGTCTACATACAACGATAAAATCGTATTAGATTGTGAAGTATTTAATTTCAATCAATTAGAATGTACTCCCTCCGTTCCTGAAAGTTCGACTCACTTATTACTATTCATGTGGTCAAAATAAAAATAACTTTGACCATATTTTATGATTTATACAATGAAAATAGACTGACTGAGTAAGGGTGATTCGGCCCTACCCACGTATACGACCTTAGGCTGAAGGAAGAGACTAAAGCGAATTATTCATCAAGCTCTTTTTACCAAAAAGAGGCAACTTCAGGGCCATCTCCCGCGTGTAAGGTGTGCTAGTGTTATCGAAAGGATTGAATCTCTGGTTCGCTAATCCATGTTCTACACGGCCAAGGAAGTTTAGTGCTCTCCTATTCCTACTTCCCCGTCACTGCCGATAGCACAGCTGAGGCAGTGACGGATTCTCTGCCCCTGAGGGGTGAGCGACAGAAGTTTGGAAAGAGAAGGTCACGGCGAGACGAGCCGCTCTAACCTTTAGTCGACCAACCACCATCTCCTTCCTAGGAAACTATTTGCCTTTGAATTCCTTTCCTAGCGGCATTACCGGTTGAAAGGGCTTAAGTCTTAACTCCGGATTCCACAACAAAGCCAGGTGCTTGCTTCCCTCGCATAATCTCGAATGTTATCAGTTCCGGTACGTAGACCAAATAATACAATGCAAGCAAAAGTTCCGGTGACTGATCCTGCCATAATGGACTCTTACCTATAGAACCGGCAACCGAAGTCGAGCGAGTAGGGTCTAATTCCCTGCGGGAGGATCCTTCTTTTATTTCGCATCGCATTTTTCATCAAAAAAATGGTAAATGAACAAATTTGATCTTATTAGATTCCCCTAATGATAAATTTTTCAAATATCAACTTTTTAAAATTTTTACTTATACATAGCCGAAGTTATTAATGGTCAAAGATGTTCATTGGATCTACAATAAAATGCCATATAGCCCATATTGCATCTACAAATGAAATTTAGACAAACAAATACATATAATAAAATCAAATAAAGGTTTCTTTTATCAAAGCTACGATCGTTGAATAAATTTTGCAGTGGTACATCTCTCGCACACATTGCTAAAATATATAGCCTTTTCAAAGAGACATTTTAACGATTTGTTGTAGCTGTAATTCTTTCTTTTTGTCAATAACTGATTATGTTTTTTGCTTGACTATAATAATAATGTCCCTAAATTACTTCTATTGGAATGAAAGTTATTTCATTAAAAACTTTTTTTAAATATTTTTTTGCTTAATTATGCATCAATAATTATGTTCCATATTAGCTGCACATTAATTTTTTTGCATAATTATGCATCAATAATTATGTTCCATATTGGACGGGCCGAGCTTGGCCAAAGGCTAAAAATCAGTCCGTTAGGTCCGGGATGGCCAAGGTTCGGACCGAAAATCCTTGCCCAAACCAGGAAATTCAAGCTAGGCCAAGCGGGCTTTTTGGGCTAGGCCTAAAAACAACTAAAAATGAAAAAGCGCTTGTCCATGACCTACCCCAAAACAAAATTCGGGTTAAATTGAGCTCGACTTCAAGCTGAAAAGTTATGCCCATAGCCCGTCCAAAACCAGGTTGGGCCCAATTTGATCAGCTATACAATTTAGGCCTTTAATTGAATTTGTATATGATTTTTTTTTTTAATTTTTTTTTTAATTTGCTAATCATTTTAAAATTAAATTATAATATGGGTATTTTGGATTTAAGAGGAACACCACCACCTCCCATCACCTGCGTATAATAGAGATTTGAGATATAATGCATCCGTTTTCAAAACAATTGATGTTGATTGGATAATTAGATGTAAGAAAAAAAATAGATAAAACTAGAATAAGCGTAAAAAGGTGAATGAATATAATAAATAATTTTTTTAAAAATTGTATATTCTCCCTCCGTGTTTTAATAAGTGTTCCACTTTGAGTGTCACATAGTTTTAGGCAACTAAATTTACTTAAAAAAAAAAACAAAAATGGAAAGGTAAGTCGAGTAATTGGAGTATTAAAAAATTGTAAAAGAAAAATAATGAGATTAGTCATTTAATGAAAAGTAATGAATGTGAGAGGAAAGAAATACAAAGCAATAAAAATAAAGTAGTAAATTTGAATGGGGACCATGAAAAAATAAAGATATGATACTAAATGTAGCTTTTTACCTAAAAAAAAATGTAACACTTATTAAAATACGATTGTATTTATTAAGTTTAACACTTATTAAAACACAAATGGAGTATTAATATTGAGAGAATTAAAGGAATGTTACTATTATGGAATAAGATATTGAGGCAACACTACACGACAATAAGAGTTTTAACAAGAGGTAAGAGCATTCTTAGAGGAGAAAAGACACCAATGAAAAAGTGTTAAAAGAACTTTTTTATAAACACACGAAAAAAAGAGAAGATAACACAATTTATTTCTAGTTTATATCTACCGACACTATTCCAAAACCACCACCACTCAATCAATCAAGAATTCCACTATTGCACTCATAGCCCCACATACACATGCTAATTGCCCCCATCACTTTATCTTTTCCATTAAATTCTTTGCATAAATCAATGTAAAAATGAAATTACAAGAAAAGAAATGATTCAATTCAAGACTAATACAAGTTTTGCATATTATTTTCCCTATAATTATTTCAATATTGGAATACTTTGTTCATACCTAAAAAAATTATTAGGATCAACCAAAGTCTTAACTTTAACTAATCTATCAAAATTCCCCATAAAGTACTTCCTACCATAAACTTCCCCTTCTTTGTAAGTCCAATTACGACTAACACCAATATCAACATCCCTATAATTTATGTAAGCACCCCTAGGATTCTTAGAAACATAAGGTGTCATAAATTCATAAATCTCTCTAATTAACCCCATATTAAGATCATCATCCATTTTTCCTCCAACTTTCCAATCAGCTGAGTATTGAATCTTGAACAAGTTCCCTCTCCTGTGAGGAAATGGTGTATCCGACGACGAAATCTCGTTCATCCTCCCTCCATAAGAGTTAAACACCAACCCTATTCTTTTCAACTCAATCAATTTCTTCCATAATAGCTCCAACCCTACTTTTGTGATGGGTTTTTGTACATAATCCGATTTTCTTTTTAAATAGATATTTGTGTAACTCCTATTTAATAAAACTTCTAAGGAAGTATTGTTGTCGTAGTTTCCCCAATACATTACCGATCTAGCCCAACTCATCTCGAAGCAATCTTGCTTCTTGAGTCCGAGTTCAGGGAATTTTTCGTCTAGTAGAGACACTAACGAATTCGAGTCACCTAAAAAGAGTGACATAAATGTGACTCGTACGGTTAGGTTACCTTTTTGTTTTTCATCATTTGCAGGTTGTAACAATAACCTTATGAACAGATTATGATCAATATCTTTCATTAAAAGCTGCCACTTGTAAACCAAATCAGTAGCACCATCTGATAGAAACCGTTTAATGGTAAAAACGGTTACTGTCTCCGGTACAGGGACAAGATTAACGGTGTATGAGACGACAACAGCGAAACTAGCACCACCGCCACCTCGAATAGCCCAAAACAAGTCCTCACCCATGGTGGTCCGGTTCAATATACGACCTTGAACATCAATAATCACGGCGTCGATTATATGATCCACGGTTAACCCGTGTTTTCTGATCATGTTGCCGTATCCGCCACCGCTGAAGTGGCCTCCTACACCTACGGTAGGGCACACCCCGCCCGGGAACCCCAGAGTGTTGCTTTTTTCTTGTATCCTATAAAAGAGTTCACCTAATGTTGCACCCGCCTCTACGTAGGCGGTTGCGGCCTTAGGGTTGACCTCGATACGACGGAAGTTGAACATGTCGAGGATGATAAAGGGGTGGTCGGAGACATAGGATAATCCATCGAAGTCGTGGCCGCCACTACGGATTTTGAGTTGGTGGCCGAGGTTGCGAGCGCATACGACTGTGGCGGATACTTGGGAGGTGGTCAAGGGTGTGATTATAAGTTGTGGTTTTGGTGTTGTTGGGTATGTGAATCTAAGGTTTCGGATGTAGGCTTCTAGGATTGAATTGTAATTTGTGTTTTCTTTGGAGTAGAGAATTTTTGAGATGTTTGTTGATGAATTTGTTTGTTTTTTTAAGCATTGGAGGAAGTTGATGTATGTAGAATCTAATGATAATGCTAATGTGAATGTTGAAAAGAGGATTAGAAGACAATAGGATAGTTTGTAAGAGTTGTGTTTTGTGTTCATTTTGATTTGGATTGCAAAAGATGAAATTTTTTAAGTGCTTAAGTTGTGTTTATATATGTACACTTCTGGTTCTTAGCTTTCTAGTACAAGTTCTTCAACGCCCATTTTTATTATTATATATTTTTTTTCTTGAGGAAATGTTTAAACTACAATTGATTTCTCTAAAATCATATAAGATGTCAAAATTATCCAATTAGATCCAACCAAAAAAGAAACGATCTCAACAATTATCATTTGTAATAAATTAGAATCATTGAAAAATGGAAATAGTTCAAAAATTAATTGTAAATATTTAAGATACTTATTAGTTGTGACATTATTATTTTTCATATGTTTGCAAAAATCAAATAGGACAAATATATGAAGTAATTGAATGAATAGGGAAAGTTTAATTGATTAGCAAGGTGGTGTATTTTATCATTTATTTAAAAAAAATATATAATCAATGTGAAAGTGAAAGGTTTGAAAAGTCATATTTGGAGAGGGGATATAGTTGTTGTGAAGAAGAAGATATTCTCCTTCAGTCCTTCACATTTTTAAAAAGGATGTTTTCTGCCTTACTGTAGTATGGTAGATTGGTAGGTGACAAAAGATGAAAAGAAAAATTCAGCACATTTGCATGTGGACAGATCATGTTCTTATGATTTTTTCGGTTGTTAATACGAATATGTGTTGTTAAATAAAGGTTATTAATTTCAACTTTTATAATTGGAAAAATTTTAATTTCCATAGTAAGCTATAAAATCAAATAAGATGGAATTGACTAAAAAAAAATGAGTCAATGGATATAATATATCCTTCAATCAACAATGCAATGTAAAAAGAAAAAAAAAGGGAGACTTTTAAGTTACTCCGTATTAGACTTTTCATCGATCAGACATTGTATCAAAGTTTGAGACTTTTAGGCTATGTTTAGCTCAACTGATTTAAATTAACAATTACGAAGTATTATCCATACATCATTTACAGTCTATGATATGTTTTTTCAAAAAAATATTTACAATCTATGATAAATGGAAATTATATCAACAATATCAATATATGCTACGTATATAATAATATCAGCGTGTTTAATGTGTGACTGGTTACACACACCAAAACACTAAACGGGTAACCCTTGACGAATTGAGTAACCCTTGACTGAGTAACCCTTGACTGAGTAAGTCTTGACTAAGCCCCTGATCGATCGAGTAAACTCTGACCAAGTAACCCCTGACCAGCCGAGTAACCCCTGAATAAGTAACGTGACTACACGGTATGGCCAACCACATGTGAAACTTTGTATTTTTAGATGTCAACAATATCTAACTTTGCACAATACAGATTGCATAACATTATAGGACGAATGGAGTAAAAAATAAAAGTCATTTTTCAAATTTTGAATCACAACTCTCAAACCCCATTCTAGTTGATAACTAAAGATGAGCAGCGGATATTGACTAATGAGCAAAAGCAGATAAAATGACTAGAACATAAAGATGTAGGGGATTTATAATATATTTGTCACACTAAAGAGCAAAAGCAGAGTGACTAGAACAAGGCCTTAGCTCGAATTTATTAAAGAACTCCTAAAGGCAAGTCGTCCCCGGAAAGGTGTGATCCTTACTTTAATAATCCAGCCTTACACAAGCCATGAATCAATGAAGATGTACAACCTTCAGTAAGTCTCCAATTAAAGTCCAAACAGCACCAGATTTGTTCGACATAGACCGCCGTTGCTATAGTCTTTGTCATGGGGACTCACCTTATAAGCAATGCAATATCAATATTAGGGGTTAAAACTCCTTAAAAGATTGAAATTTGTTTCCAATTTCATAATCATATGATCTTATTAACTAAAATTAGTGCTCCATTATTTATTTTTTGATTATTTACAACAAAAATTTAGTGCATGAGAGGTCAAATTAAACTGTCCATTAACACGTAAATAACTAGGTATAGACCATTGCAATGCTAATATATTGTCTTCGAATTTATGTGTTGAATTTTCTTTGAGTCCCTAGTCTCACTTGGCCCTACGTAACAATGTTCACAATATCCTCATTTCAAATTTCTGAGTTTTCTGTCCTTACAATGCCACGAACGTAGGGTATTAGCCTCTCAATCTCATCTTTTTTCCTCACTCGTTTTCTACTTTTTCTTTATTCAACTTATATGACCAATCAACTATTCTATCCTCTCACGGATCCATCCATTCATAAATAAGATCTATTCACGTCCTGGATTGATATCGTGATTATGAAAAATGTAAAACGTCGTAATTAATGAGATTGAAGACTGTGAAAATGAAAATTCAAGAGTAATATACGATAATGGAAAATAAAATGTGAATATATTTTGTTTGGAAATTATTAAGAAATGGCAATTCATGTTAACAATAGAATATGATGGAAAGCTTAATTATACAGGGTATTCATGAACTAATACATATGTTTACAGTGTTGTATAGAAAGATCAATGGCTAACATAATCACTAAGATATACTAATATGTATATAATCATTATGATACAAATTAATTATTACAAAAGATATCAATGATATTCACAATGTAATGATATACAATACCATACCATAATAACTAAGATACTAAGAGATATATGACATCTCATACCTATCTCATTGTGTGGGATATATTTAAGAGGAAAACACAAATTGGACCTAGCCTTGACAAAGCACAACACCTAACAATTAAGGAATGAGGATTATATTGATTGATATATAAGGATTTTAATCTTAAATATTTAGGATATCAGATGGGTGCATTAGATATTTTGGACGGAAAAAGTGATTCACTCCTCTCAAAAGAGATTTCAAACCACGTTGACTAGTACTAATATAAAAACACACCATAACAAATTAAACACAACATAAATTCCATTATATTACCAAATCCTAATATTCCACAAAAAATGAAGACAAATATCAACTCTTCTCTACTCCCTTATTATCTTCTAATCCTACTCTCCATAATCTCACAAGCATTATCTTCAAATTCTACATACAATAACTTCTTCCAATGCCTAAAAAAACAATCAATTTCATCAACAAACATCTCCAAAATTCTCTACTCAAAACAAAACACAAACTACAATTCAATCCTACAAGCCTACATTCGAAACCTTAGATTCACATACCCAACAACACCAAAACCACAACTCATAATCACACCCTTCACCACCTCCCAAGTATCTGCCACCGTCGTATGCGCTCGCAACCTCGGCCACCAACTAAAAATCCGTAGTGGCGGCCACGACTACGATGGCCTATCCTACATCTCCAACACCCCATTCGTCATCCTCGATATGAAAAACTTACGACGTATCGTAGTAGACCCTAAACATGGAACCGCCTACGTGGAGGCAGGTTCAACTCTAGGGGAACTCTACTACAACATTCAAATAAAAACAAATAAATTCGGGTTTCCGGCCGGAGTTTGCCCTACCGTGGGCGTAGGAGGCCACGTCAGCGGTGGCGGGTACGGCAACATGATAAGAAAACATGGGTTATCCGTAGACCATATAACCGACGCCACCGTAGTCGACGCAACGGGTCGGATCTTGAACCGGACCTCCATGGGCGAGGACTTGTTTTGGGCTATACGAGGCGGCGGTGGTGCTAGTTTCGCCGCTGTAGTTTCCTACACGGTGAAGCTAGTCCCGGTACCAGAAAAAGTAACGGTTTTTAACATTAAGCGATTTATTAGTGAAAATGCAACGGATTTAGTTTATAAGTGGCAGTTACTAATGAAAGATATTGATCATAATTTATTTATCAGATTATTATTACAACCTGTAAGTGATCCTCAAAATAAAGGTAAAAAGACAGGTAGAGTTACTTTTATTGCACTTTATTTAGGTAATTCAAGTACATTATATTCTTTACTCAAAAATAAATTTCCTGAACTTGGTCTTAAGAAGGAGGATTGCTTGGAAATGAGTTGGGGTAAATCAACGTTGTTTTGGGCTAATTTCGACAACGAAACATCCCCTGAAGTTCTCTTAAGTAGGAACTACTCGGCGAATTACTCGAAGAGAAAATCGGATTATGTACAAAATCCGATCACTAAAGTAGGTTTGAATTTACTATGGAGGAAGTTGATAACCTTGGCGAAACCAGGGTTGGTATTTAACTCTTACGGAGGGAGGATGAACGAGATTTCGTCGTCGGATACACCATTTCCTCATAGGAGAGGTAATTTGTTTAAGATCCAATACTCAATTAGTTGGAAAGATGCAGGGAAAATGGATGATGATAAGAATATTGGGTTGATTAGGGAGCTTCATGATTTTATGACACCTTATGTTTCAAAAAATCCAAGGGGTGCTTATTTTAATTATAGGGATATTGATATTGGTGTTAGTCATAATTGGACTTACAAAGAAGGAGAAGTTTATGGTAGGAAGTATTTTATGGGGAATTTTGATAGGTTAGTTAAAGTTAAGACTTTGGTTGATCCCACTAACTTTTTTAGGAATGAGCAAAGTATTCCGACTTTGAAATAATCATTGGGAGATAAATAGAAATTATGTGTAATTTCTGATTATAGTTTAATTATAGTATTTACATACAATAAAGTTGTAGATTGTTGATTATTATATGATCAAAATGTTTTTAAGGTTACAATTATGTTGGTATTTTTTTTTCTTCATATAATATAAAAGGTTACGCAATTAATCTCTTTTACCTCTCTCAAATCAATATTGGTCGTGCATTGCTGGTCATTGTAAAGGGATTCCATTGATTTTACTAGACTTTTAGAGGTGTTAAATCGGGTACCCAGATGGAGTTTGGGTTGATTCACGACGAGTCAGGATGTTTGGGTCGTGTAATGATGGGTCATTTTAATCTAACAAACCAAATCAAATCGGATTGAGCTTAATCAATTTGGGTTAAAGTTGAGTTCAAGCATGGTCGGATACAAATCGAACTTGGGTCAAGCCAAATTCGGGTCGAGTCATATCGAGTTATGATGAACTCGGATCCGGATTTTATCAGGTTTATTAGGGTCAAAATGGATTTATTTGACTTTCGATCGGGTCACTTCGAATTCAATTAGATATCGGTTCAAATCAATTAAGTTCCGGTTAAAATTTGATGAATCAGGTTACTTCGATTATTAGCTCATTCTCAGT